ATGTATATATATAAATAAACATATATATGAATGTGTATGTATACATATGTACATCTACTTGTTGAATCTGCTGACTCATGGAGACCACACATGTGTCAAAGTAGAACTAAGCTCCATAGTACTTTCTGTGTCTGATCTTTTCAGAAGTAGATGGCCAGGCCTTTTTTCTGAGGCACTTCTGGGTGGCCTTGAACTTCCACTTTTCTGTTAGTAGCTGAGTGAGTTAACCATTCCCACCACCAAGGTACTCTATGTACTCTATGTATATATATATTTGTGTATATGTTATTTATGTGTGTATATTATTTATATGTATGTGACCATATTATTTATGTGTATGTGTGTGTGTGTATATATGTGTGTGTGTGTGTGTGTGTGTATGTAGGCTCTGGTGGCACAGTGATTAAAGTCTCACCTGCCAACTGAAAGGTATGCAGTTCAAATCCCCCATCTCCTCAATGGAAGAAAGATGTGTCAGTCAGTTTCCATAAATATTTATAGCCTTGGAAACCCTTTGGGACACATCTCTGTCCTGTAGGGTCACTATGAGTCAGAATCAACTTAGCAGCAATGGGTTTGGTGTGTATGTGTATGTGTATGTGTATGTGTGTGTGTGTATATATATATATATATATATATATATATATATATATATATATGTTGTAGTTATGTGCCATCGAGTAAGACCTGACTCATAACGACCCCTCTTTGGGTTTCCGAGGCAGTATCACTATGGAAGTAGTTGCCCAACCTTCCTTCCAAGGCTAGTGGGTTTGAACCACCAGCCTTCTGGTTAGCATTCAAGTTCCTTAGGCAGTATGCTACCAGAGCTAGCTGAGGATTTGTACCTTAGCTTTAACCATCATTATTTTCTTAAATTTGAGAAAAATAAATCATTCAATGACAAATTACAACTAATATCTAGGCTTAATAACCCCCCCCCCAAAATAAGAGTGAAGTGTTTTAGCAATATAATCATGAGAAGAAAGAAAAAAGTTTATTTTCATAACATAACAGATCTATTGTAAAAATAAAAAAATAACTCCAAGAAGTCTGCTGAAGGAGCATGAAGTGGTTAACCAATTAGTTGTAAGCACAACTTGGTAAGTTACTACATGCTGACAAAATCCCAAATCACCCAGAGACTTGGATATATATATTTACATATTCATAAATATGTATATGTATATATACATATACATATGTATATATGTAAAATGTCCTTCTCCTTTTTGAAATACAGCTAATGGGCAGAGACACAGTAGAGAAGGATGGTCAGGGAACACTACCCTGGAAGACAGAAAGCTATTGTGTCTATCCTAGCTCTGTCCTTACCTGAGTGTGTGACCCTGGGCAAGTTCCTGAATCTTTTCGGGCCTCAGCTTTTATCATCTGTAATAAGAGTAGGCTGCATTAGATCAGCACTTCTTGACCCTGATTTAACATTAGAAGCACTTGGGGAACTTTTAAATATGCAGATGCACAGGTCTTACTGAGAAATCCTGTTTAAATTTTTAAAAATCTCCCCAGTGAACCTAATGCGCAGTCAGGGTAACTCAATGCTGTCAAGTCAGTCCTGACTCATAGCGACCCCTCCTTGGGTTTCTGAGGCAGTATCACAACGGAAGTAGATTACCCAACCTTCCTTCTGACCAGTGGCTGGTGGGTTTGAACCACCAGCCTTCTGGTTAGCAGTCAAGTACCTTAGACACTATGCCAGCAAGAACTGCCACCAGCCACTCCTCGGAAGGAAGACTGGGCAATGTACTTCCATAGTGATACTGCCTCAGAAATCCAAGGAGGGGTCACTATGAGTCAGATCTGACTGGACAACAGTGAGTTTGGTTTTAGTTTTTGGGTAAGTTCTTTTTAAGGAGCTCCGATGGCGTAGTGCCTAAGGCATTTGACTGCTAACCAGAAGGTTGGCGGTTCATGCCCACCAGCCACTCTGTGGAAGGACAACTGGGCATTCTACTTTTGTAAAGATTTACTGCCTCAGAAACCTAAAGGGGTGTCACTATAAGTTGGAATTGACTCAATGGCAGTGAGTTTTTTTAAACTCTTTTCAGGACTCTGATTCTCTTGCTCTGTTTTTATTTTCAAAGGCAGGATGGACCAGGCTGACAGTGTCCTGTAGACACAGCCTTCTTTTTATAGAATATGTCTAGTATATGATTATTTATACCCAGTGCTTTCTGAGAAGAACAACATACTGTAGTGGCACTATGCCTTGTTGCCACTAGGCCATGCTATTATTTTTTTAATTATTACTACCACTGTGCCGATATTACATATGGGAAAACTTGGGCACACAAAGACTGAATGACTTGTCTAAGATTACCCAGCTAATACCAGTAGTGGCAGCACCTCAACCTTCCTGTATCCCCACACATGGTGTCTACCTGTCCACTCAAGCACAAAGCTTTCTGGAGTCATGTTCCAGTACCATTCCCTGTTCATAGTTGAGAACACTTGCATCTTCATGCTCTGTAAAAACCCTCACAATGGTCTGTGGCAGCGCAGGATGAGAACTCTCAGTTCATGTGTGTTCTTCCATGTGGCTGGGAGCCATTGACCAGTGGCCTTAGTTTGCAACATTTTCTTGCTTGCTGTCACCAACATTTTTGCCAATCATTGTTTAGAAAATTTTTGGTTTCTAATTTCCTTCTCTTGACCACTCTATAACCTATAAATTCTTTGACTCTTAGAATGAGCAATAAATACATTTTATTGATCCAGTTGTTGTTGTTGTTATGTGCCGTCGAGTCAAACCCGACTCATAGCGACCTCTCCTTGGGTTTCCGAGGCAGTATCACTACAGAAGTAGGATTGCCCAACCTTCCTTCTGTAGTTACTTTAAAAAAGAATACTTTTTAAGCATGTTGGGTTCTGATCATCTCTGAACTTGTAGATAACCAATGTGAACACTTGATAAATATCATTAACCCAATAACAACTTAGAAAAAGAAAATCATTTTTCAACTATTTTCTCTTCAAAATTGTTTCTCCACTGCCAACAGCCCATTTAGGTCCATCTCCCTCCATTCCAGTCTCTTCTTCTTCTGTTATAGGAATGATGGCTATTGTTCATGTAGGCCCTGTGATGTACACTTTTATCACCTTATTCAAATGTCAGAACAGGGCACTTAAAGATAAGGAAACCAGGGCTCATAGAGCTCAGCATCTATTTAGTGTCAGCCACAGGCCAGGCTCTTTGCTGAATGCATTCTCTACATTATCTTGTTTAATCCTTAGAATGGCTATTTTACATTTCACTAAGGGTGGTACCAAGTATGGACATACTCCATAATTTCTCACAGATACAAGATTAGTGAATACTTGAGTTGGGATTAAAAGGTAGGCCATCTCACACACTAGGCCTTGCTGCTTTGTTTTTATCATCATTATACAACTCTTCCCATTTTACAGATGAAAAAACTGAGATACACAGAGATTGAATAATTTGAGTAATCATTCAGCCAATAAAAGTTAAAGTCAAGATTCAAAACCTAAGCCTGACTTGCAAGCACCATACCTTGTAGGGTCCCACTCTTAGTTTATCTACTGTGCACTCTGCTTCCAAGTCACGCCTCATTCCAGCTCTCTCTGCACATTGATTAGTTTTTCATACTATTCCTCTGCTCAGGAACAGTCTGTATCTATTTTTGAGGACTAAAATCCTTTTATTGATTTATATTTTTGAATTTTTTAAGCCCTCTGAGGTCTGTCTACTCCCACGCCCACCTTATTCCCACAGTGTTCAGAACCTATCCCTTGCTAGGTCAGTCTGTCTCCCTCATTATCCCAGCAGTATGCCAGACTTTTCCTGTCTCCAGGTGTCTTTCATATTGTTCCCTTCGTCTCTGCAGCCAGCTTTTCCTCTATCTTTTTTAAATTGTAACTTGGGTGAAAGTTTAGAGAGTAAATTGGTTTTACATTCAACAATCCATACACATTCTGTTTTATGGCATTTATTGCAATCCCCACACCATAACAGCATACTTCCCACTTCCTCCCTGTGCCTATTTTCCTTCATTCTTTCTTCTCATCTCCTCCGCCCTCCTAGCTCTATCCCTAGGCAAGTACTGTCCTCTTGATCTCAGATGCTTGATTGTTCTAATGAGTGCATACCTTTCTGATATTGCTGTTCATCTTGTAGGCCTCTCTATCGTTTGGCTGCCAGTTGAATCATGGGGCTTAAGTTTAGTTCCTAGCTTGAAGGGGGTCTAAAGGCCATAGTGTCAGAGGTTCTGCCAGTCTTCATCAGACTAGTTCGCCTAGTCTTTTTAATGATTTTCAGCCAGCTTTTCTTGAATATCGTGCACAATTTATTATGTGCTGGCAAGGTCTGGTGGAAGACCTAAATCCTTCATGTAGCCAACCTGAATTAACCTTTTCTGTTCTGCTTAAGGCCACCTTCTGTGCAAAACCCTCTCTGCTTACTCCTCCATTCTATACTTCCATCTGAATGCCCTCCAAACCCAAGGTGCAAAGTGGAGCCTCATTATGGAATCTTGTACATCTCAAGTCTTAGGTAAACTCTGTGAGGGCAAAGATCATGTGAAATCAATCCTAAGGTCAAATAGATAGACACTGAATGACATATTAATTTGTGATAATAAATATCAGCTCTCTGTTATTATGTTAATTATGAGTCCAGAAAAACAAGGTTTAAAATATTGATTTATAAGAATTTTTTAAATACATGCTATTTTTCTTATTTTAAGGGCTAGTAAAACTGATCTTCTAAAAATATTACTGCTTTCCTAGTAAATGTCCCTTCAACGGTAATGGAAGCCATGTGCAGACAAGACGCCCTGCAACCCTTCAACAAGAGCAGCAAACTCTCGCCAGCCACCCAGCAGCGCTCCATTGTTTTCCCACAGACTCCATGCAGCAGGAACTTCTCTCTCCTGGATAAATCTGGGCCCATCGAATCAGGATTCAACCAAATCAACGTGAAAAACCAGCGGGTTCTTGCAAGCCCGACTTCCACAAGCCAGCTCCACTCGGAGTTCAGTGACTGGCATCTTTGGAAATGCGGCCAGTGCTTTAAGACTTTCACGCAGCGGATCCTCTTACAGATGCATGTGTGCACTCAGAACCCCGACAGGTAAAACCCAACTCCCACTGCTCACAAGGTGTTTGCTTCCAATCACCTCCTCCAGACGCACCCCTGGGAAAAACCTGTGACGAGAGGTTTCTGTGTTCTGGAAGGTCAGAGAGTACTGTTGGGGCACTGCTCAACTTTACTGTGATTAGAACTGTGTGGATGGGCTGGTGACTGCAGAGAGGAAACTGCGCTTGCATTCTAGACAGTCCTGTACAAGTCTAAAGGGGAGCTAAAAAGGAGGAACATTTATGAATATCATAATGGAAAAATGAGGTCAGGATAATTAGAATCCTCTCTATCTTCCAAAGATAATATAGCTGGCTGCTCAGCTGCTGTCACAGTCATTTCAGGGTTCACCTCCTGTGTGCCGTGGCTATGAACTTAATTAAGTACTAAGAGGTAATGAATTGGAATTTTTTGCTTAGTACTATTTTTCTTCAGAGCATGCAAACCCATAAATCCTGTGAAGCTGTCAAAAGGAAATACCTACTCTGCTAGTGATGTGGAGGAAAACAGATGCCACTTATTCAATAAACTAATATCCACACAGAAGAAAAATGTTGACTAGATACCTCAGAGTCAAAGTTGGTTTGAAAGTTTGTCAATAAAGAATTTTATGGCCATGAACTGAGGATGAAATTTAGCTGAACAAGTGAATTAAAATTTCAGGTACTCTGACGAGTGGCATAGTAGATATAATGGAACAATTATTTATGAATCAAAACTGGTTTATTCGACAGTTGTGATAGCTAGCAGCACAAAAGACAAAAATCAAATTAATTCACTATGAAAGGATTGCTTGTGTTTTATATCTCCTTCATGTCCTATGAAAATTTGATTAAAACCAAAATATCTAATAATAGCATTGAAAATGAGCTTTGAATATAAAACAGAAAATAATATTTGGAATGAGAGTAGGAGACTCAGAAGCAGAAATCCTGAAAGATTTCTTAATTTTGGCACTGATTAACCTTAAGCAAGGTACTCAGCTCTCCTTTCCTAATAATGTATACCCAGCTTTTCTGTCCCAACTCTTCAGGGTACAGCAATATGCCTGGGAAAGCCAAGCAAGGTCAGGAAGGAAGGAAATGCAGTGGAGAAGGGGCTGATGGCTATTTTCTAAAGTAGTAATAATTAATTTTAGAGTACATATGTGGATTTAAATGTATAGGTGACATAGTGCCTGAGGCATTTGACTGCTAAGCAGAAGGCTGGTGGTTCAAACCCACTAGCCAATCCTTGGAAGGAAGATTGGGCAATCTACTTCCATGGAGATGTTGTTGTTGTTATATGCTTTCGAGTCAGACCCGACTCATAGCTACCCCGTATCACTACAGAAGTAGATTGCCCAACCTTCCTTCTGAGGAGTGGCTGGTGGATTTGAACGACCAGCCTTCTGGTTAGCAGTCAAGTGCCTTAGGTACTATGCTACCAGAGCCTTAGAAACCAAGGAGGGGTCACTATGGGTCAAATCAACTTGACAGCAGTGAGTTTAGGTTGTTTTATTTTATTTTATTTTTTATGCTGTTACTTGTGCCATTCTAATGGCACTACTGAAAATAATGTTGAAACATTTACATTAGGTCTGTAAGGCAACTGTGTCTTCCCAAGCTTTTACCTTCATTAGGAAGAGAGGCTCCTGGTGAAAATATCAAGCCATTGCTACACATCTTAGTACTATTAGTTGTAGAGGTGATACCAAAGTTTTCAAAATATTTCCCTCATTCAGAAAGTGTTTTGAAATTTTTATCTCCTTGCAAGCTTATCTACTTTAAATTTGCAGGGCATTTCAATGTTTTTTTAAAAAAATATAAAACATGCATTAAAACTTTGTTATTATAAACATGCTTTATAAACTAAGTGCAGATGAAAGGATTTATTATGTGCAAAATTCTTGTAGATACAATCGTAGTAAGTGAACATGCAATGTAAAATAAAATCATAGTTAAAAGTTTCTGAATTCTGGAACTCAAAACTTAGCTTTGAGTATGACATAATTTCATGGTGAATGTCATGTAAAGCAATAAACATGTGGCAGAGTATATAGAAAGATATTGAAACAGACTATTTTGTCTGATTCAGTTACACTTAGAAAGTCATGTTTATGTTATGGTTTAAGTCCCTATGAAGTTTTCCCAGTGAAATAGTAGTTTAGAAAATGTACATGTACAAAATACACATCTATGAGAGATTGTTAAAGAAATGCTGATTTTAATCTAATTTAGAGTTATTGGCAAAAATGCCAGTAGTATCAGACTCCCATCATGTGTTAGACCATGATGGGTTTATCTGAGTAAGATGTCCAGGTGTTGTGTGCTAAGACATCCTAGATGAGTAATGGGCACTTGTTGTCTGGGTAAATAACCAGAGTTGGATTGAATTACTCCAGCCGTAGGTCCGTACTTCTCCCTTCCCTGTGCTTGTTGGTGAAGTCCTAAGAGGTGGTTGCCATCATTCCTGAAAATTCAAATTAAGAATGATGACTTCAAAAACTCAGTCTCCTGAAGGCAATGTCATGAAGTACAAAGCTTTTTAGTAATGGTGTGATGATGCTTGAATTATACTCTCACATTTGAATTGATTTCTGGAGATAAACAGGAAATAGAAAGAAATGTCCAGTCATTTGACCCACTAGCCTCATTCTAGGGAGGAAGTTTGTTTTCCAGAATATGGGACTGGAACAGCTCCTTTTTGTTCCAAAGCCTAGTATGCCTATCTTTGTACCAACAAGGTTGGAAGGAAAAGATAATCTCATAGTTCTTAACTACATGGGTGGATTGCTCATAGGAGAAATGCACAGAAGTACAATGGAACTGTCAATTTGATCATGATAGTAAGTTTGGAAACTTTTCTGTTATTATCCATGTGGAGACTTAGAACTGCTGAATATATGTATATACAGGCAGTCCTGGGTTACGAATATCTAACTTACGCACAACCCGTAGTTATGAACTAACTCCCATAAAGCCTATTATATTAAAAATTTGAGGTACATGCAATGGTTTGTAATAACAAATAGGTGCTACTTTGTGACATGCATCAAAAATTATTATAATTATTGCTGTATTATTATGGTAAACCTCTTTTACTGTATCTGGAAGTGTTTCTTTAATGTTTTTTATGCATAAAATATACTAAGACAAACATTTGACTAACTGATGTTGGATACAAACTGTACCTAACTGTTCCGACTCCTACAAATTCGACTTAAACACAGACTTGGGAATAGAACCGTTTCTAATCCAGGGACTGCCTGTATTCTTTAGTGATTGATTCCATAAGTCAGCCAGCTTTTAGTCTTTGGCAGTTTGTGCCCATTCAGCCATAAACAGTAGAAGAGCATAGAGCCTAACATTCAGAAACCATTTTTCATCTGTTTGGGAAAACTCAAATGCTCTTATTTTGATAGGAAAATCTTGTTAGAACCAGAGGCAAGAGAGACACAGAAGACAAAGTCAGAAGATAAACAGGTTAGAGTTACAACCAGGCCTGAATTTGAAACAGGCCCCAGAATCTTAGGTCCAATTTTCTTTTTTTTTTAATACAATGAACTAAATGTTTGGCCATGAAATCCCAGACATTTGAACTTTCATCAAAGACACTGTGTGTCTGCATCTGTGAGCTTTTTCATGTGAGGGTCCATCAAAAAGTCTATGCCTTGATTTAAGGGGAAGAGATTCATGGAGACTCAGGCACTCAGAATCACCCTTTCTTCCAGCGTTGTGGTATTCACATCAAATGCAGAAAAAAAATTCTATTTGATCTAGCAAGGTAGGAATCATCACTAAAGATAAAAACACATCCAAGAGAGTCTAGGAGCCACACAGTTGTTATTTCATGATTTTAATTTGTTCATATTCAACAAACAAAACCAAAAATCTCTTCTTCCTTTTCCCCAGGCTGCTGACTATTCTTTTCCTGAAAAAAATTGAAAGGCAAGCTATTGGAATCTAGAACCAATATTTTATTCAGGGACTTCATAAACATTTGGGTTTTTACATAAGCATATTGCCTAGTGCCCTACCAGGGCAGTTCGACTCATTTGTACTTGAACTAGGAGTTAGAAATCCTTTTCTTTTTTTTTTTTGCTGCAGAGACTCCCAACAGTCCCATTGGGGGTGCTCCAGAAAGGGGTAAGCAAAGCCTTCAATCACAGTGGATTATTTTCTGATGAATATGTTCTCTTTTATTTTCTGCAGAAAGCGTTTGTAATGCTTATCTTTACTTTGTTTAGTTTGCATCCTTTTTCTTTTCCTTTTTCCTTCTTTGATTGTTTGTGACGTGGGGAAACTTTGCTTTCAGCAACCCTGGCACCATCAACTGTATATATTTGTGTTTCAAGTATCACTGTTCGTAATTGGATGTGGTGGTACCAAAAGGGAAAGTGACTCCAGAAGGTGCTGTTGGGTAGGAGGGGCCTGGAGATAATCCATCACCATAATAGTTTCTTTGGAATGTATCGTGGTCTTGTGTTCCACTGTTTCTTTTTTTCCCTCCACGTGTGAAGGTTATCTTCTTTTTAGCTTTCGATGTTTTCCAGGCCTTTTGGCTTCACACTTTCGTAGCTTTCCTGAAATCTTTTTCTCCTTAGATAGAGCTAATTTCCCACTCCACTCAGCCAGCAGTGACCTAAGTAATGCTCCCTTTGAAGTCTCGGGAGATTTGCACTTGGACTGGCTGAAGAGGAACAAGGAGAGAACGTGGCCCCAACTGACAGCTTTTGTCCTGGAGGCTTTCGTGCCATGAAATAAAATCAAAGAAAGATTAATAATTTGAAACCAAACCACACTTAATTTTGTTAAATGTTTCATCCTTTTCCTATGTGTACCCCAAACCAATTACAGACTCAAAGCAAATGAATTGCACATTTTACTGTAGTAATCTTTGTCAGAGGAGTTGCCAGTTACAGATAATGCCAGGGGATATGCAAAATTATTATACTGCTTTCTTTCAGCTTAAAATTTGACCAGCTTTGATACATGCTAACTAAACCAACCAGC